GTGTTTGTGTGTTTGTGTGTGTGTGTGTGTGTGTGTGTGTGTGTGTGTGTGTGTGTGTGTGTGTGTGTGTGTGTGTGTGTGTGTGTGTGAGTTTGTTTGTGTGTGTGAGTTTGTGTGTGTGTGTGTTTGTGTGAGTGTGTCAACAGCGCCGGCATCTGAACCTGAGCTCTTACACTGTGCTTGTGTTTCCTCAGACCCAAAGAGTTCATCGAGTGCGTGTCACACATTCGCCAGCTGTCTTGGCTGCTGCTGGGGTCTCTTACCCACAGTGCTTTGCATCAGGGCTCCTCGTGCTGTATGCCCATTCCACTGGACGCTGGATCTCATATCGCAGACCATCTGATTGTCATCCTGATAGGATTCCCAGAGCAGTCCAAGGTATGATAATGGAGCGGTTCTGCTTGGAGGAGATCCAGAGACGTGACTCTGATGTTGCTCCTCCCTCTGTGTGTGTCTGCAGACGTCAGTGCTGCACATGTGTTCGCTGTTCCACGCCTTCATGTTCGCCCAGCTGTGGACCATCTACTGCGAGCAGGCCGCGGCCAACCCGACCAATCAGAACCAGAACGAGTTCTCCTCGTGCGCCATCCTCACGGGCCTGGAGTTCTGGAGCCGTGTGACTCCCAGCATCCTCCAGCTCATGGCCCACAACAAAGTGGTAAACCTGCCATTTACTCAGACTCGGTGTGATCCGGCTTCTCTCTCAGTGCATCACTTTGCAGCATTTCTACATTGGAAGCTGTTTTTTGACATTTGAACATGTATTTCTTTTAGCTTGTGTTTGAGCACTAAATACTTTTGATTTGATATCTGATATAAACTGATTTCAGATATAAACTGACTCCTATTCCAGAGTGAAATTGCTACATACGAATGAGCAAAAACAATCAAACGTTATCAAATGTAACTGATTGGAAAGTAGCTTGTTCACAGACACAGTGGTGACAGCAGATCTGCTCTTTTTCTTCATGTTTCAGATGGTAGAGATGGTCTGCTTGCATGTCATCAGTCTAATAGAGGCCTTGCAGGAGTGTAACTCAACCATCTTTGTGAAAGTAAGAGGGATTTCTTACTACAAATGCTTAAGAGAAACTGCAGTGCTTAGCATTTCTACATCATGCAGTCTGAGGTGTTTATTATATTTAATGTCCTCCTCAGCTGATTCCCATGTGGCTGCCCATGATTCAGTCCAACTTAAATGTAAGATTTCATCATATCCATTACACAATTCACTCTTGCTATCAACACTCTTGCTTTCTTTCTAGAGTAAACTCTCAAAATCTTCCTGTTAGATGCTAAACTCTCTTTGTGTGTCATTAGCATTTGTCCGCGGGTCTCCAGCTGCGTCTTCAAGCCATTCAGAACCGGGTGAACCACCAGTGTCTCCAGAATCCTGGATCCGGATCGTTTCCTCTCACTCTGCGCAAGTGGCTTCAGTGCACTCAGTTTAAAATGGCCCAGGTGGAGATCCAGTCGTCTGAGGCAGCGTCCCAGTTTTACCCCATGTGATCTTTAAAGCAGCGAGCTGCGTGTGATGATTAATCATATGAGCTTCTGCAGCAGCAGATGTAGTTGCTCAAGGATCGGTGGTCTTCCTAGTGTGTGTGTTATTATCAAATACATTACAGAAATCATGCATAGAGAAAAATGTTAGCCTGTTTCAACCAGGGAAAGGTTTTTTGTATTATCAATAGTATGCATATTTCAAACCAAAATAAACCATTCAAGAGTTAAAAAAAACAAACAAATTGCTTGAATTTAGTATTTGTGTTAACCTGACTCACTGTGTGCTCACTTTCAGACCATCCCAGATTCTGAGAAATGTAGCACTGCATCAGTGTCTCAGCAATGGATGCTCTGCAGTGAATGGGTGCCGTCAGAATGAGAGTCCAAACAGCTGATAAAAACATCACAATAATCCATAGCACTCCAGTCCATCAGTTAACATCTGGAGAAGACAAAAGCTGAAACACATCCGGCATTAAGACGCTTTTAGTCCATAATCCATAATAACTCTTCCTCCAGTGAGTCAGTGTTCTGGTGTGAATCAGGAGAGAAATCTGCACAGATCAAGCAGCGTTTAAACAGCTCTAAACACATATGTGGCTGGATTTTGATGCGAGAGACAACAGCAGATGCACATTTTCACTGGAAGAAGCCTTATGCATTATAGACTCGGATTTGGCCAGAAGCAACAGTTTAAACACCTTATTGTAAAGAGCAAAGGACATATTGCTCTTGTTGACAAAAACATTTAGCCATGGGTTTGATTAAAGCTTGATTTTTCCAAAGCAAACACATCAGCGTCTGGCAAAAGCCTTCATTCTCCATCAAGCTTATCAAAGAGAGACTATCCTGCTGAGTGTGTCTGTGTGTGTGAGAGTGAGTCTGTGTCTGAGTCTGTGTCTGAGTGTGTGTGAGTGTGTCTGTGTGTGTGAGAGTGAGTGTGTGTGTCTGTGTGTGTGAGAGTGAGTGTGTGTGTCTGTGTCCGAGTGTGTGTGTCTGTGTCTGAGTGTGTCTGTGTCTGTGTGTGTGAGAGTGAGTGTGTGTGTCTGTGTCTAAGTGTGTGAGAGTGAGTGTGTGTGTGTCTGTGTCTGAGTGTGTGAGAGTGAGTGTGTGTGTGTCTGTGTCTGAGTGTGTGTCTGTGTGAGTGTGTGTCTGTGTCTGAGTGTGTCTGTGTGGGAGAGTGAGTGTGTGTGTCTGTGTCTGTGTGTGTCTGTGTCTGAGTGTGTGAGAGTGAGTGTGTGTGTCTGAGTGAGTGTGTGTGTGTCTGAGTGAGTGTGTGTGTCTGTGTCTGAGTGTGTGTCTGTGTGAGTGTGTGTCTGTGTCTGTGTGTGTGTGTGTGGGAGAGTGAGTGTGTGTGTCTGTGTCTGTGTGTGTCTGTGTCTGAGTGTGTGAGAGTGAGTGTGTGTGTCTGAGTGAGTGTGTGTGTGTCTGAGTGAGTGTGTGTGTCTGTGTCTGAGTGTGTGTCTGTGTGTGAGTGTGTCTGTGTCTGAGTGTGTCTGTGTGTGTGTCTGTGTTTGTGTCTGTGTGTGTGTGTGTGTGTGTGTGTGTGTGTGTGTGTGTGTGTGTGTGTGTGTGAGTGTGTGTATGTGTATGGGTGTGTGTGTGAGTGTGTGTGTCTGTGTGTGTGAGAGTGTGTCTGTGT